CTCCTCCTCATTCCCGTCTTGGAACATGACAGTCTGGGAGAGGAGACAGGTGTGTAAGCAGCAGGCCGAAGCAGCTGAAGGCTTTCATAGGGAAGGGAAGCTGGGGTGGCACTGTCAGGGCATGTTCCCAGGCTGGGGGGACGGAGGGACAGGGAGAGAAGGAGCAGAGGGGGAGGGGGAGCTGCACACAGGTGCAAGTGTGCACAAATCCGCAGAGGCACCCAGCGTCCTGGGCTTCAGGAAACAGGTCCCACGTCCATGGTTATCATACTGCTCTTTCTCTAGCCTCTGTCTACAGCCCCGATCTACCTCTCAGTGTGCATCTTATTTTGGATGTTAAAAAGACCTAATTTTTTTTTTTTTTTTTTGTCTGCTTTAACCCTGCACTTCTCCCATGGTGCCAAGGATCACAGGACGAGGAAAAGACCATGTATCATTGAATGTCCCAAAGAAAAGCACAAAGATGTTCACTGCGCTTCATCCAAAGGATGCAGCAGCTCAGGGGCCTCTGGCAGGGACTCCACTGTTTTCTTCCTCTGCTATCTGGTAGCACAAAAACTGGTCTTGCCCACTCCCAAGGCTACCTGCCTGAGGCAGCCGCCCAGAGGGAGGCCTTGAGCCCCAAAGCCCTGCAGGAGCTGTGGGGGACAGCAGATGGGGAGTGGGGTGCAAGAAGCCAGGCCCCGCTGGCCGGCAGTCCACGCAGGACCAATGCAGCAGTGGAGGCATCGGGTCTGAGCCCGAATGGTTGGTGGCACAGCTGGCTCTGGAGACACCGAGGGCCACCTCCGGCTCCCTCTCTTCTTGTTTTCCTCTCCCCTGGTGTCTTGCTGACCAACCCACTGCTTCCCACAGGGTCTCCGGCCAGCGCTTCAGGCACCTCCCCAGGCGCTAGCATCCTGCTCAGGTCCCCTCAGCACCTTGGATGCACTCGAGGACCCCAGGATGTGATGCTGTCCATGGGCTGTACGAGGATGCCCTGTGTACAATAGCATCCGGTCAGCCCGAGGGAGAGAAAAGCAGCGAGGGGTGCACAGGGAGGGACACAGGCTGGCCGGGCACGCGACTCATCACCAAACTCTGACCAAGAGGAGGTTGTTCGTGAAGTGAGGCTGACTACAAGAAAAATGATGGACAAAACACTTTCTTGCATGTCTCAGCCATGTCCACCCTTCCTGCCTCAGACCCGATGTCAGGGCAGCAGCTGCACTGGGACCACCTGGATCCCTGCTCCTGGCTGAACAGGGCACGGTGCTCCTGGGGACAGCCAGGGCTGGAGCCTGCGTGGCCAGGCTGATGGGAGGGTACTCCAGTGATGGGGTAGGGTGACCTCAGCCACACTGATGCCGACAGAGGCCCAGGCAGCCTGTTTCAGCCACGTGTGACTCAAGAGGTGGAGGGAGAGTGTTGTGCCTGGCTGGAGACAGGGAGCACTGAGGGAGGGACAGACAGATGGATGGCTTGTGGAGTCTGGGTGGAAGGGAAATGGACCAGAGTCGGAGGTGAGCAAGTGCACACTGAGCTCAAGAGCATCCAGGCAGCCTGGGGTGCAGAGAGGGCGTGGACAGCAGAGGCACTGCCCCCCCACCCCAATCGCACAGCTCCTCTCCCTGTGAGGACACACACAGCTCACCCAGGCCATTGGAGGGGACAGCAACACAGTCCACCCAGCAGGTTCCTCATAGGCCTCCCCCTGGACTCCCAAGAGTGGCACAGCTGTGAACCCAGGGATCTCACCACCAACGCATCTCCCAGGGCCTGGTGCAGGGTGCCCACCTCAAAAACACTTGGCAAGTTGAGTTCCAAATTGCTTGTGGCCTTGAGAGCCCTGCTTTTGGCACAGATCTGGGAACTCTGTCCAAGCTGACTCCTGCTCGGCAAACTCACTGAGCGAGGTGCAGGGCCTGTGCTGTCAGCGGAGCAGCCCCATATTCAAGATGACAAAGTGCTTTCTGTCAGTCACTGGTGCATGGGGAGAGCCTGGGTCAGCCCTGGGCCTCTCTTGCCATTGAGGGCTCTCAAGAAGAGTCCAGACAGCAAACCTAGCCGGGGCTAATGCTGTGCCAGTCCCCAGGGACACTGTGATCACTAAGGAGGTTAGAGCTGGTGCTGCTTAAGCGACTCCAGGATTGCAGTCACTTCGCCCTGATGCCTGGTACCTGGAAATGTGACACTGGACCCAGGCACCTGGCAGCCTGGCCAGAGCAGCAGCCCTGCAGCAGGAGAAATACCTGAGTGTAAGCTCCTATGTCCTCAAGGCTATTTACTGTACTGCAGGGCTCAGCCTTTTTCATAATCTCTTCCGCCTGGCACCCAACTGTCTCTGATCAGTCAAGAGGTCAAGAAAGGGACTGCACTCCCAGTGCCGCGATGAGAAGGCGCTGGACAGCTTTCTGGCTCTCTGCATGCCCATCCTCCTCCCTGACAGCCACACTCGAGGGGATGCTACTAAGAATTTCAAAACTGAAAAAAAGAAAAATGAAAGAATCTCAAGAATGACACACTTCTGTGCATTGTCAACTGCTTTTAGAAAGCCCTTGCCAGGCTCTCTAAAAATAGAGATCCTTTGCTGTCAAAGGAGACCGCAAGCCTGTGGGCTCTCCCTGATTAGTCTTTTCCCCCCGTGGTGGCAGCAGAGGTCACAGCAGGCCTTGCAGCAAGGGCACCTGCACTTCTCCAGGGGGAGGGACAGGCCTTAGTGACTCCTGACCCTCTGCTCAGCTCACTCTTCCCAAGGCAGCTGGGGGAGGTAACACAGAAAGCCTCACAGCGCCTCGGATTCCTTGGCGGTGAGGGGAGGGAGCACGGCCTGTTTTCGCCTTTGTGGGTTCAGGAAACAGGAGAGACAGACACTGCTGTCTTCCCAGAATTCCTCAGAGCAATCTGGGCTCCACGCACCTCCCCTAAGCACTCCAGTCACTGTCACAATAAGCTGCACCCAAAGTCACCAACAAAATCTCCTAGGAAACCAAGCAAGTGAAGGAGGGCTCTCCTGTGTGTGACCACCCTCCCTGAACACACCCTGGCCTCAGTGGGTGTCTGGTGGCCGCTTATCTCCCCGTTCTTCTGATTTGTCTATATGATGCCACCTTTATAATTTTACTAAAACAAAAACAGTGGCAGCAACAAAACTACCTGGATACAACAATACAGCGATCTGAGGTCTTAGTCCACCAGCTAGGTATACAAAGGCTGGGCCGAAGTAGTGCCCTGTGATGCCCTGCGAGGAAGACACTCCTCTAACTTTCAATCTTTAACCAGCCCTAAATAACAGAGGGTAATTATACCTTGCACAACAGTAGAACAGAACTGCTCTGGGGGAGATTAGCAAATACATGAGCGGGAGGATAAAGGGAAAGCTACACACTGAAAAGTTTTCTTACTACAGATATAAAAAATGTATATTTACAATACTTTTTATAAATTAAAATGTGCAATCAATGGCTCTGGGTCTAGTGTTCTAAGGAGAAAAATATGACTTCCGGTTTCAATCCAATTACAATTCAAAATTCAGTTGCTTAGTACTTTAGACTGAGCCAATAAAACACAGCCTACAGTGTTACAGGTCTGTGTTCCTGGGCAAGAAACGGAAGCAATTCCAGCCTCCTGCTGGATCGCTGCTTGGAGGCGCTAAGCCGGTTTACCAGACTCTGGGATGTGGCCCCCATCCCACCCCAGGCCACGTCTGTGACTGATGGAGGTTGGATCTTGGGCAGCACTGCGGAAAGACTACCCGGCAGTATACAACCAGAAGGCACACGCAAAAGTACTAAATAACCTTGTATTCCACTCTTCCATGGGGACACTTCCTTATCTAGTAGCCTGCTGGGTAGGTGTCCGTAAGGAGTGAGACCTTATCTCTTCCTTTTTCATTCCTTCCACTGTCTAGTTCTCCAGGTGCCAGTTACATGAAGCTATTTACATTTAACTGAATTAAAAGTGAGTCAGTTTTCCTGTCATTGCAGCTGTATTTTAAGTGCTGAGTGTCTCTGTATGTGGCTGACGGATTTAGTGCAGTCTTGGAGAACACTTTATTGTGACAGAAAATTCTACTGGCCAGTGTGCTTATACTCTATACACTAAGTGGCAGGTCACCTTCCTCTCAACATTCTGTGGGCAGGTACTGGCACAGAAGTGGGCCTTACAATTCCCACTGACCTCTCCACGACTCCAGGCTGCAGATCTCACTTGGTTGGTCCCTCCTTTTCCAAACTGGGTCTAACTGTGAAGAGTGACTTACACAGCGCAGAGCTGAGAATTCCCTGCCGTGGCTCCTGAGCTGCTTGGGTCTTATCTGGGGATTTCTTAGTGTATGCTGGAGGACAATAGCACCTAATTTCTAAGTTGGGCACTGCTATCATCACTGGAAGTAATCAGCAGAAAGTAGTATACCTGATTTTCTTTGTATGTTTCTTTTTGAATATTTCATGATTTACAGAACAAAATTACACTTTGGTTACATCATCATTAAGTGATGTTAACCTGAACTGAGCAGGAAGGAAGCCGGCTGAATGTGTGAACGGCAGAGGGAAGCTTAAGAAGTGACCTAACCCTGGGAAAACTACGAGGTCTACTGTAACAGTGGCAGCGACAGGCGTAGCAAACACATGTACCCTGTTACGTGGCAGGCACACTCCGGGGCTCCCCACGTGCCAATGCTGTGAGAGCTCAACTCTCTCACCCACCCATGCTTCCTATTAGGAAGGAGGAGAGAGGCAGAGAGAAACAGTTGGTGCAAGATCGCAAAGGCAGGAGCACTGAGAGCTGAGCCTAGGTGCGCGGCTCCACAGGCTGTGCCTGGAGCCACAAAGCCACACTGCAATGCGGCTGCACTCTTGAGAAAAATGAGTGCTGCCTGCCTGGATCCAGCCAACGCTCTTTATCTTGATTTCTAAATTCCAGCGCACCCTCACCTCTGAGTCAGTATGCACACCTTTTTTGTGGCTTTCCTTCAATATTTTTCCTTTTCATTCATTGGTGTTTTGAAAGTATAAACACAGTTCTGCACCACAACCACTATTTAATAGTTGATACCAAATACCAAAAAAATGCAGTAGATTGTGTATGTACATAAAATCTGAATTCCAATCCTGGGTCTAATGGCACACGAAAATAAAAGTTACCTTTTTCTTCATAATTATTTACACACTCTGAGCTACTTGGGGTTTGTCTTTATTTTACTAATTCCAAGTTTGTACCAAGGGTTCCACATCACATGTCAAAGAATTCATAATTTTAATTACCAAGCCCCTTCCCCCTGCCCCTTCGTTTTGAGACAGGTTTTCACTATGTAGTTTAGACTGGCTTTAAACTCACAGCGATTCTCCTGCCTCAGCCTCCTGAATGCTGGGATTACAGGTGTGTACCACGATGCCTTGCTCACAAGCCTATTTTTTAAGAACACAAAATTTGGGAAGTTGTCCAAGGAATCTTTCCAAATTGGTAGCTTACTAACTTGTCTTTCTTTTGGACAATTCTACCTTAAAACAGTACCAGAAACTCAAAATTCATATTTGTAGCATTACATAGTTAAAAAGTAAGTACAAAAAGATTTTCTGGGACTGAGGTTATAGGGCAGCTGAGTGGCAGACTGTATGCTCAGCATGCATGAGGCCCTGGGGTCAAGCCCCAGCTCCAAAGCAAAGCAAAGCAAACCAAGCCACGCGATTCCACTCAGTACTGCGTCTTAGGTCTTTTAGTCATCTGACAATGGAACTCTAGACTGAAGAAACCTAACTTAATTCAGTCACTTTCCAGAGAACTAAGGTCTACAGAAGGTGACTTGTTCTAGATCATAGAGCTCATGAGTCACAGCCAGAGTGCAGCCCACGCTTCCTGATTCAGCTCTTTCCATGCCAGGCAGAAGCCACGAGGCTCTGCATTGTCCTCCAACAGCTCTGGCGATTTCCCCCGAGGCGTATGTTTCCAGATGCTGACAGAGTGGTGCACCCTGCACACCGCGGACACCTGCACAGCATCTCCGAGGACGTCACTGCTGACACACAGCTGTGACACTGACTGGCTGTGGGCACAGTGTGGCTATGCTGGGACAACACCTCACAAAGCCAAGCCATCAGGCAGGACCGGAGCTGCCAATCGCGTCTCATCCCCAGTGACCCCATGCCAACAGTTAAAACCTTAAAAAAAGCACAAAACATGAACCCTCTGTGGAATTAAAGTAACTCTGAAGAGAAAAACATAAAACACAAAGAAGCTGAGATTATTCAAACAGGACAATTCCAGGGCATGTGCCCAGCTGCGTGTCCTCAGTACCTGCAGCGGACGAGTAGCCCCAGTGTTGAGGACACTTGGTCCCAAAGCACCAGGCGATCTCTGAGGAAGAAAGCGCCAAGTTACACTTAGTGGTCTGCGTCAGGACCACAAACAAAACAAACAAATAAACCACAACTAGTACTGAAAAAGAAAGAGAAGGGGTTTCCTGGCTAACCGGAAATTGTCCCCTGAGTGCCACAACCAGCTCACACTGTTGTAAGGAAAATGCTCTTGCAGACAGCAAGCCCAGAGCCACATAATTCGTCCAGGAGAAACCAAAGAAGTCAAAGGGAAAGACTTGCCCCTTTCACTGAGAACAGAAGGTGACCTTTTCACTTTCAGAAACAATGCAAAGCGGCTCTGTAATAGTCACACACACACTGGGAAAAACTACAGATCATTCACCTCCAGTTTTTCTCTGTTGACTGCTAGCTGCTCTTTGGGTGAATTAAATACCAAATCCGTAATAGCACAGGATGCTGCAATAGCACAGGATGCTGCAATCCTGAGGGGCTGCAGACCCAGGGATGCAGGGGCGGGATGTGGCAGAGACACTTCCAGGCCATCTTTCAGGGCCCGGCTTCTGCGGTTCCAGATGGAGCCGCACTGATCCGGAAGAGGTTCCCCATGACAGCTCCGATTCCTGCCGGGGTGGGACAGCACACCACGGGTTCCAGCAGAGAAGCAGTCAAACTTACTAACTCTGTGACCCCAGTAAACGACTATTCTTTTTTTGGTACCGGCAATCAGACTCATGACCTAGTGCTTGCCAGGCAAGTGCTTACACTGCTGAGCTAAATCCCCAGCCTGGACGACTATTCTTGAAGGAAGAAAAAACTCAGCAACAAAAAAGTAAATCAACAAAACCATCAAACATGAGACAAAGGACTTGGTGAAGGAAGAAGGAAAAAAAATCTTTTTGGCTAAGAAATTATTAGTTAACCTAACCTTTTTTTTGTATTGGGGATTGAACTCATGACCTTGTGCTTAGCAGGCAAGCGCTTGAGCCACTAAACTAAATTGCCGGCCCTTAACCTAATATTTTTAAGGGGGGAAATAACCCCACCATTTTACCAAATGTTACATTATGGAAATCAAAGTAACCTTCGTCATCCACACAAGAAAGCAAACTGTCTCCGCCTCTGACGGGTGTCGCGAGTCCATGGGGCCCTGGCTGCAGGGTTAGAAGCGGGGGTAGATGTTTCGCTGCTGCTGCTGCTGCAGTGGCTGCTGGGCCTGCTGCTGCTGCAGGCGTATCTGCTGCGAATACGGGTCTTCCAGGGATTTCACAAATATGGTGGTTCTGGGGCCAGTCTTCCACACGATGCCATTGGCGTCCTTCACGGAGGACTCCACTGTGATGTTGTGTGTCCCAAGGATGGCAAAGTTCAACAGAAACTGGGTGCTGAAGTAGTCGTTATGCGGCTCAACCCTCTGCTCCATCTCATTGGTCATATTGTCCAGGGGTATCTGGAACAGAGATCGCTAACTCAGTGACAGCTTGTTCACCCTGTGCGCACCGCGAACCAGGCCGTCAGAGTGCGAGGACTGTCACCATCCTTGCTTTTCAGTGATGTGGCTGTGGCCAGAGGGTGGTACAGGTCCCCTGAGGCACAGTACGAATGTGCACTCAAATGTGCACTGAGGCAGCTGACTCCAGAGCCACCCTCTGGACTCTTAAGCCCACCTCCCGCTTGCCTGGAGAAGCAGCTGCTCCTGGAGCCTCTCATCACCCCCACAGGCTGCTTCCCTCCCTGTGGTTCCCCACCTTTCTCCAATGCCCACTTCCACAGTGTGAAATCCAAGAGAATGAAATAGAAGATCGTGGTTAGCTGGTGAGATGCCGCCTCTCTGTCAGCCTCCTCTTACAAGTTACCCCAGGACCTGCACACTGTGCTCAAGGTCGGTACAAAGCCCACACCAACGGGATCATCCACGGGACACGCACGCCTCGTCTTTCAAAGAAAAGAATGAAATCTGCCGCTGTGTCCTCACCTCTACCCAAGATGCAGTAAGCCCGGAGGCAGACTTACTCAGAAGACCGACTAACAGTAATCCTACTGGACCCTCGGCCGGACCGCTCTGTTCACGGTGTGCTTGCGTGGTGCTAATGTGCCTAACAGCGCCTGCAGCTTTGTGGCTTTATGAGCAGCTTTCATGAGGTCAGACTTCCAGATGCATTTCCTTGTAATATTAATGAAGTCACCAATTTTTTTTTTTAAACGTCTTTTTGAGACAGGGTTTCACTATGCACTTCAGGCTGGTCTTAAGCTCACTGGGTAGCTCAGGCTGGTCTCAAATTTGCAATGACCCTCCTGCCTCAGCCTTCTGAGTGCTGGGACTACAGGCATGTGCCACTTTTTGAAGTCACTAATTCCTAAGAACTATTTATGGTATGGGGGTGCTTTTTTACTCTTTGCAGCCAGCTTTTGTGGGGCTTTTATTCTCTAAGAACAGGACTACCAAAGAACTTCCTTAAAAGGAGCAGAACAGGCGTGGCAGTCTGATTAACCTTTCTGTGCTGCAAGCTGGGCGCCATGAATACTGTGAAGCATGACGCACGCATAGCCATGACGCCAGCTTCCTCCTTGAATCAGCTCCTCCTGAGAGGTAAGTCAACCAGCAGTGCTGCTGGGGCTGAGTGACGCTTTTCTTAGCAGAGGAAATGATTATATTCAAGGAACTAAGAGATTCATGGTTACGGTCATTTCAAATTGGAAGTCAGGAGAAAGGCACACACTGGGATAAACCACATAAACTCCTATTACTATCTCCGGTGATGCCTGAGATTACTCAGCCCTAATAGCTGTACCTTACAGTGCACAGAGTACAGCTTTTCTCACCATTCATCAAATACTCACTGAGTGGCTACATAAGGCACTATGCTTGTGCCACCAATCAAAGGAGGAAGAGAGAAGAACCAAGGCGGAGCCTTGGCACCGAGTAGATAAAGAGCCCTGGAAAGAAGTTACAAAGAAAGCAGCCACGATGGCTTACAGTAGTGCTGGGCTTCTAGCTGGACCCTGCTGAAGAAAACAAATTCTGTCCTGTTATATCGTCTTAGATGAGCCTCTTCCTTGCCACAACTTACTAGTTTAAACATGTCCCCAAAGCAAAGCCACTCTGGGATCGGAACAGCTCTGCTGTACAAAGGTGAACTTGTTCTCCAACTCTACTTACTGTGGACAAACCACCAGGGAGCTGGAGAGAGATGTCTGCGACAGGGACACAGTCGTCACCCTGTGTCCAGCTAACAACATAAACTTGATTTTGCCTAGAACCTACTTCCTGACTTCTCCACAAGGCCCATTCCTAGGGCTATAGGCCTAAGGGAAGGTTTTATTGTATCTGACTACTGTGTGTTAACGCTATATACGTGCAGAGTGCTGCTCTGGAGGAGGGAGTTTTCAGGAGTTTAACCAGACCAGCCTCTGAGGAGGGCGAGGTCTGACCGGTCACTAAGTAGGGGAGCCAGGCACCCCTTCTCTGGGCATTGGGGCACTCCTCACTGGCACTGGGCTTTCCAGGAAAGTTCCCGCCTGTGTACTGGCTGGGGCTGGGCCTGGGCTGGACAGTTCCCCAGAGGCAGCTGAGTTAGGGTTCCACACAGCTGCAACAGCAGCACACTTCCTATCCTGCTCCCTGTCTGGGTGCTGTCTCTGTGAACTGGTTAAGGCAGAAAAAGAAGGCTTAGCAGTCTCCTCAGATCCCAGTATGTGTGTGTGGTTTATGTACCTGCAATCAGCTTAACACGAAACACAATGGAAAATGCCCATCGTGATCCTGCCGCCTCCTGAGTTACCTTGTAGTCTTGTCCAGATTTACTCTGCAGCGTGGAAGAAACATTCAGGCAGACAGACTGAATTTTGCGGAAGAGTCCTGGTTTTGATCCATGCTGAACCACTCCTTCCACCTTCAGTGCCAGCTGCTGGTTACTCTGGACAGCAATGGGCTCTGCAGGGTTCCGGGGGGACGGCGACAGAGCCAGCTGCAATGCAAACACCTGGTAAATGCCAGCCGCCAGGAGCGGCTTCCTTCTGACATGCCCGTGCCCATCACGGCCACAGCCTGACGCGCGCATGCTCATCAGGGCCTCCTGAGGCCCTGGCTGTGGCACGCCAGGCAGAGGGCTTCCTCACCCTGGAGCCTCCTGAGAGCCCCTGCACTTTTCCTCCCGATCCTCAGCTTTGCTGAAGGGAAACAAAGGACAGGAAGTGAAGGCACGGGTGGCCAGCCTGTGGTGGGCCACCACTTCTGGTGGTGGCGGTGGGGATGGAGGGGAGCAGCACTGTATACATTTTCAGGTTCAGATACTGTCTCTTTGCTCTTGGCTAATTCACTGAATTCAAATGGAAGCTAATGTAAAATTCTAGGATTATTTACACAGCGAAGTCATTTTGATATTAAAGTCAAGTTCCACAAATGAACCAAATAACTTCTTTTTCTTTCCAGTGCTGGGGGTTGAACCCAGAGCTCTGTATATGTTAACAAAATACCATTTTTAACCTTTCCTTAAAATAGTTTTTTAAAAAAGCTATTAAAAATGCCAGACATAGTTTAATTACAGAAGGTGCAAGTCTTGTTAAATGGAAGATGGAAGAAACAGGAGTTTCCTACTAATGTTGAACTGCTGAACCAGTCAGCTCTGGGGGCTTGTGGGCTCTGGTCTTCTCGTCTAGATAATCACTTTTCCTGATTATGTAAGTCATTTTGAAATGGAATGCTCTTCTACTTGCAAGCAAAAGCATTTGAATGGATGTATAAGTTCACTTCAGATATTAACTGACAGGGATAATCTAGGAAATATCTCAGAGTGGTAATTTCCTTTTATTTCCAAACAATTCTATATTTGAATCAACAACAGCTTTTCACTTTTGAGTGGTCTGAGTATTTCAAAATACTAATTACACTCATTCAGTTCCCTCAAAACTTGATATTAAAAGGCGAAAGTGTGCAGAGGGCAGACTGGTGACATTTTCCTGGCCCTATTAAGCCTCAGTAGGGCAAAAAGGGCTGCTCAGTCAGACCTGGCTTGAGATCCGTGCAGGCCACTATCATAAAACCACCAATTTATTCTTGTCGCAGGAGATAAAGGACCCAGCTACTCAAATGCTTGTCTACTGCACTTGGCTCTGACAGCTGAAAAGGGAGAGGTTTAACTCTTAATCCCACTCCTTTCCCGAATCTCTTAACAAAGGAAGGAAAAGCATAAAACTAAAGGCTACAGATTTTTACAAAACCGAAATTTAGATTCTGAAATGTAGCTAGGTCCCATTTAACTCCCAGAAGCAGCTGGTTTTCAAAGCTGCAGTAACCTCAGTATTCTGCCTGTCTCACCTTGATGCTGGTCGACTGCAGTTTCTGGAAGAAATATCTCTGGAACGACAGGGGAACTTTCAACAAAGCGATGATGGCATTGCAGAGGCAAGCTGTGTGCTGGGGGAGAGAAAGAAAGCATCTGAAGGTAAGCTTCCAGATTTCACCAACAATGGCCAGACATGAACTGACATAGGCCGCTACGGAAGTACACACCAACCAGGAAGGGGCACGACACCCAGAACCCGGTCTCCCTATCCATTCCATCACTCATGCCAGGGGGCACAATGGGGGCTTTACTTTATCTTCAAAGTGGTAAGAGAAGGGAGAAAACCCACATTCCTTCCTGGGCAAATTTCACACTTCTATAGACTGCAGAGCTATCAGACATATTAGTAAGTATTGGCGACACTGAAACAGAGTTTAACTACACATGGCAGGGTGAGACAAACAGCACGGTAAGAAGCTAGGGCAGCACACGACACCCTGAGCCTGAGTCCAGGTCCCCCACCTGACCCTGGCTCTCAGCTTGGTGGCTTATTCTTGTCCTCCTTTTCCACTAGCTATGAGGTTTTTCTGCTGGGTCCCCACAGAGTGGGCAACAGTGAAAACTCAGCAGGATTCAGACTAAGAATGACTATAGCAGCCTGTCTTTATGGAATTATTATTTTGAGACAGGGTCTTGTTATATAGTCCAGGCTGGCTTGAACTTGCAGCAGTCTTCCTGCTTCAGCTTCCTGAGTGCTGGGACTATAGGCATGTGCCACTACACCTGGCTCTGAAACTCTAATAAAATACTTTACTTCTAAAATCTATCTCACGTATGTAACTGAGTTTTGAAAACTTCAGCCCAACTGCAGAGAAACAAAAACACAACTGAATCTTTTCAGTCTTAGTGAAAGGAGTCATAGACTTTTAAGAGTTCCAAGACGTGTTAAAAATTACTCAGGACAATTACTCTGCTGATGACACAGGCCACACACGGGGTATCAGGGAAGGTGGGACCAGAAGCCACAATGTCCAACGCCTTAGTGATTTTGTTCTATTTCATTATTTACAAACTTAATAGGAAATACTAACACGCTGCCACAGCACTGCACCGCAGGTGAAGGAGAACCACTCCTGCGCGGCTCCTGTCCCTCTAAGTCTTTTCTGTCTCTGTGCCCCCAAGGCACCGACGTATGACACCCAAGGCTGCCTGTGCACCAAGGTCCTGCTTCTGGGTAGATGGCATGAGCTGCCAGGCTTGTTTTGAAAAAATGTTTAAATGTATGTGCGTCATTTTTTTTCTTTTCTTTGAGACAGGGTCTCACTGTGCAGTTCAGGGTGGCCTTGAGTTTACTGTGGAGCCCAGGCTGGGCTCAAACCTGTGAGGATACCCTTGCCTCAGCCTCTGGAGTACCAGGATTACAGGCGTGTACTAGCATGCCTGGCTTAAACACAGCTTTAAAAAGCTGGGCATTAAGGCCAAAAGCAAAACAAACAGACAAACCAAAACCCCCAATCGTTCATGCAGGTAAACATTCTATGCCTGAGGACAGAGAGCAGGTCTATGAACTGAGAAAATCACAAGGCACATGCAAAGGCACCGGTTCTACTTCTGCAGCTCTAACCGCTGGAGCAGCACTGCCATCCTCCACACCAGGGAGTCCGACAAGCTCTGGCGGGAACGTGCTGCCTGTGCGGGGCCTCTGGTGCCACTGTGGCGTGGAAGGATGGAAACACCCTCAAGGGTAGACTGATGCACCATATGTGACTCTAGGGCAGCGAGGGCAAACCTTTCATAGCTCTCAGTGATACCCATGGCCAGCTGCATCACACAGGCCTAGGTTTGCCACCACAGCTGTGGGCCCCTTCACTGAAGAAAGTCCCTATTTGGCTTTTTAAATCAGGAGAGGAAGCAGGTGCTACAGTCATATGAGAACTGTCTCTAAGGCTGTCGGTCGCTTGGGGACACCTCTGCAGGAGATTACTATAAAGTGGCACTCTGAAGATGGCAAACTGCGTACCAGGACAGCAGAGCAGGAGGACTAGAGCGCTTGCTAAGCCCACCATAGTCTCTCCAGCTCTCGGGCACAGGCGTCTCCGCAGCAGCGGGCAGCGCTTTCCTTCCATGGATCTCCAACAGGCCTGACACCCACGCCTGCCTAACTCCCCTCCCTCCACCTGCTTCCCTAAGTGCCTCCGCTGTCCTCAGTCCCCTTCTCTTTTCGGCCCCTGTGGTCTCCACAGGTAATGCACTCTCTTCCCAGGATGCTCCAAGGGGTGACACTCTTGACGTCCCACCTGCGGCCCAGCTCATCTGTCTTCCATCCTGGGCTATCCCAAAACAGCCACCGTCAGTGGCTTCCACCCCTGTATGTTCCATCTCAGGAGACGATCACCCAGGTGCACCCCCAGTCACTGGTGCTGGAAACCTAGAAGCCACACCTTTAGCTTCATGTCTCATTAAAACAAACACCAAGATGGCAAACATGACCCCGCCCCTAAGATCTGTCCAGGCACCCCGTTCCCATTCCCACTGCCGCTTACTCACTGGGTCCCATTCTGGATGGCTGCAGAGAACTTCTACTCTTTCCTCCTCTAATCCCGAGGCCTACAGACCTGACCTGACTATACACATTGACACCTCACTGCTTGTTAACTATTTATTTCTCTTGCCCACTTAACATTCAAAGAAGGCTCCCTAGTGTCTTTGAGATAAAGTCCAAACCCCAATGCTTTGTTCAAAGCCTCCTGTCGCCAGCTCTGCCTCCTCGTGGCTGGCCTGTGCACTGCAGCAGCCCCTGAAGGCTCCCCCAAGATGCCACACTAGGTCACACTGCTGCTGTTCCTCAAAGTGCTCTCTGCCTGATAGTCCCCACCTCTCCTTATCTGTCTGGAAAACTCACACGCAAGCCTGTCTTCTCCCTGAGCTGTGCCCTACCAGCTTTACCAATTCTCTGACATAAACTTCTGTTTTCTGGTACTGGGGATGGAACCAGTGGTCTCTACGCTGAGCTATATCCCTACTCTTTTTAAAACTGTTTTGGAAGCAGGACCTCCAAAAATTTTGAACTTTAGGTCCTCATGCCTCAGCTCCCCGGATTCTAGAACTACGGCCAGCGCCACCAAGCCTAGCTGAGTCCCTCCGCTGACCTGAGCTTTTTAGTGACACTGGGGATGGACGTGCTGGGCCTGGTCTCCCTCCAGCGCTGCCCCACTATCCCGTGCAGAACTTTGCTGTATTGTGTTTCTAAAACCTTTCCCTGTCAGACTATGGAAGACCTTGTGTCTCTGTCACTTTTCTGTTCCTAAGATCTAATAATAAATGTCTGAATATCCTGTAGGTGCAAAGTAGCAAATCTATGAATACAATCTGGAAGGAGAGAAAAGGAAACTAACATTTACTAACTACCCCTTATATGGTAGAATTGTGATAGAAAACATGCATTACTTAAACTTAACAGTAATCTTAAGAGATAGGCAATTCTGCATTTTATACAAAAGGACATTAAATAATTTGACATTGCAGCCCTGCGGAGTGGCAGCGCAGGAGTCTGTGCCTAGCTCTGAATGAACTAGGGACGACTTTTCCGTGTCGGTGTCTCCTGGGCAGACCCTTTCCCTCCTCTCCATCACATAGAGGGGATTCGCCCCCAGCGAAGTGAGCTTGCTGTTCAGTATCTATTTAACTTCTCGGAGTGGTGTTTAGCAGGCTATGGAAACAGTCACTTCTCAGGGAGATGTGTTTCCTTCACAGTCTCTATAATCTCCCTTCACAAGCCAGCTCGGTGTCAACCAGCTGTGTCTATATGACTACAAACACTCCTGACGATTGCACCTGGGAAGCAGCATATCACAGAGAGGACCCACCCTTACATCTGATGAAGAACGCATCCTTCTAATTTCTTCTGAAATACCTGATGAAGGGGGAGCGTATAAAGTGAGAAGAGCAGAAGCTGGGAGAGAGCTACAGTGCTGCCAGCATCCACCACAGGAGCATGGGAAGAACTCTCCCGGGTCCAAGTTCAGAGGCTGGCTGCTATGGACTCAAGGTCTGCCTCCTGAATTCCTATGTGGAAGTCCTGCGACTGTTCAGATCTAGGGTCCCCCAAACTCACCTGAGCTCAGGGGAGGGGCTCTGGGAAGCAGACTGGGCCAAGGGGGCACTACATTCATCAGTGGATGCACCCACAAAGGAGCTCAGCAGTTAAAGGTGCTGCGGAGGTAGGTGGGCCTGGTCAGAGGCGGTCGCCAGGCCCTGACCCAGAAGCAGCTTTCTCTTGCTCCTCCCCTCACCTCGGCTTCCTGGCAGTTAAACCGGACAGCTTTCCTCATGGCGGGCTCCTAGCCTGCGGCTGCTATGTGGGTGGAGACAGCTAACAGCCCTGAGCCCACTGCACCTCTCCTCCTCTACACCTTGGGCTTGGGTGTTTTGCTCGTTATGAGAGAGTGACTAAGACAGCAGTGGAGGAGAGACTCTCGGAGGCGCAAAGTTCAGTTTGGCTGCTAAGGATTCCATGTCTGTGTTTTTTCAAATTCAAATGTCAGAGCCCTGACATCCAGGGTGACAACAGTTGGAGGAGGGGCTGCCAAGCTGGGATTAGTGTCCTGTAAGTAGAGGAAAAGAGACCAGAGAATTCTGTCCTTTTCCCTGCACACAAAGACACAGCAGTATGTGGCCATCTGCAAGCCAGGGAGAGAACCCTCATGGAGCCCAGTCTGCTGGCACATTATCACAGACCACCCAGCTCCACAAACACCAGACATAAGTGTCTGCTCTTGACACATTCTCCATGCAGCTGTAATTCGTGTGTCTCGTAGTCAGGTGGCTCTGAGCTTAAAACACTGGTGCTATATGCCTGACTGTGCCGTTGGGTGGCCTGGGACAGTCAAGCCAGCAGGAATGACCCAATTCAAATCACAGCCACCTGGCAGTGACACACACAAATACGGCCCCACTGTGAACATGTAGATATCAGACATAATTTAGCCTCGCCTACCTTCAAAGTTTCTGGAACACTAAAATCAGCCTGCATTTGGGCAAAATCATCTAACACAAAGGTTATCTTGTAATACAGTGCCGACTATTTCACATTGTTACTAACAGTACATCGAAGGTGAAAACAGAATGGGATGTAGACCCATTATTGAATACACCTTCAACCGCTGAAAAGCTGTGAGTTGATCCACTGTAAATCCTAATGCCTGGGCCGAATTCCACAGAGCAAGAGGTAGAGGGAGCGGGGCACATTGATTTATGGTTTAAAAAGCTCCCAAGATAGGGGCTGGGGATTCAGCTCAGTGGTATAAGCGCCTGCTTGCAAGCAGGTAGTCATGAGTTCGATCCTTGGTATCGATAAAAACGAAAAAGACAAAAAAAAAAAAAAAAAAAAAAAAAAAAAAAGCTCCCACGGTGGTTCTCCTCGGTCACCAGGTTGAGAGCTATTCCAGCTTCATTTGACCTCACAACAGTGGCACGTGTAGGTGCTGGGGGACCCTGTTCTACACGCAGAGAAGGGCACGGAGAGCAAAGCCCACTTACCATGTACGAGACAGGGGTGTACTTCCGGTTGAGCGACTCCACCTCCTCCAAGACATGCGTGTACACGGCCGTCATCCTCCGCTCGTACTCGCTGTCAGCATGGGCTGCTCCCGTAGATCCGTACTCCTGAAAACTGAAGGCAAGATCAGCATCAGTTACGCGGCCGTTTTAACACGTTAATTCCTTTACTTCCTGTGTCAAGCACTTTCCTTGCATTGTCAGTTAATTTTCCAAGTAACGGATTTCTTTCCCTTTATGGATAAGGAATCTGAGACCTCGAGAGGTTTACTTACCTATACCTACAACTACTAGGGGCAAGCTGAAACTCAAACCCAGACGTGAGTTCAGTTGATGGAGGCTTGCTGCTGAGGACTGAACCCAGGGTTTGCACCCTCTAGGTAAGCTCTTCACCACCAAGCTTCATCCCCAGGCCTTTTTCAGATGAGGTGAGGTTAAGTTGGCCAGAATGCTCAAACCTCTGATCCTCCTACCTCAGCCTCAGAAGCAGCTAGGATTACAGGCTCAGATGACGTGATTCTTTTTTTTTTTTTTTTGGTCTTTTTTCATTTTTATCGGTACCGGGGATCGAACTCACGACTACCTGCTTGCAAGGCAGGCACTTATGCCGCTGAGCTAAACCCCCAGCCCCCGATGATGTGATTCTTTACCACACTGTTAAGCAGTACTACAGTGTCTAAATTTGTTGCTACCAGGAGAGACATAAGACATCTGAAAAGGTAATTATCAATATGTACAGGAATGCGAAGGGCATTCTGGGAAAAGTTTAACCTAGATGCCTTCCTTTTTCCTCTATTTCTGACCCTCAGATTTCTGAAAATATTTCTAAGCAAGAGAAGAGAGCAACTTCAGCATCTTGACTAGGCTTTCAAAAGTTTTCCTGAGGGATATTTAAATGTAATGTAGGTAATTTAAATATGCTGGATATTAACACTATTATTCCCCAAATCCATTTAAGGTCTTCTATAAACAAGCTCTTCAACTGGGCACTTTGTACAGACTTTTTCCTTTTGATCTTCACAACTGTTCCCAGAAACAGGCATCGGTCTCTACCTAGAGTTTACGTAGACTGGCTCAGTGAGGTCAGACGTGGTCACAGAGCAGTGAGTGACAAGGGAGTCATGTTCACATCTGCCTGGCTCAAGCCCTGTTCCCTGTTGGCAGTGTATTTTAAGTTCCACCAGGGCAAGAAGTGAAATTACTAAAATGGATCAGGTAAGCAGAAATAAAGAGCCACGCGGTCTAGTGTGAGAGCAGCTAGCACTTTCAAAAAGGTAGCAAAAATCTTAGCATTAACCTGAAACAAAATACTGAGTCAGTGCTTTGGGGCAGAGAAACTGAAAGTGTTTTGCAGACGCATTCTTTTTGAAAACTCTGCTAAGGGAATCTCAGGCCTTGGTAGATTAGTATTATTGTGAAATATATTAGTGAAATACAATTCCAAAACAAATGCTTCTCATCCAGTGACACCTAATTAATCGCTTCTTGGATACACAATCCATCTTTCTTTTCATCTGCACAGTTCCACACACCTTATTCAGAGTCTCCATGTCTTTTGGGATAGTACACTTTGTTTACAGACCTTTAACTTTCGTTGACTCTCCAGAAGTTTAATGTTCTGTAATATATTACAGTACTACCTTTAATGGTATGCAAACAAAAGCAGAGTCATCAAGCTGGAGTTTCCTCAGTCCATTTCTCTGTTCTGAATACTGTACTGTGTGTACTGTCCAAAATTTCTCATTCAGCCACAAATTCATCTATCAACAGTGACCTGGTGGCAGGAGCGTGACGAGTATAAATGCGGAGAGCCTGCGGAGGTCTCCACGGAGAAACAATGGAGCATTCCTTAATCATTTTGGTAGCTACTGGGGCTGGGAAAAACAATTTTAATCAAGCAATGGCAGAGGTATCTTTTGGTTTGGGAAAACAGCGAATAAAATTTTGAAGTTTAAGTTTAACTGTATTATTAACTATTTCCCAACAAAATTTAGTTATATAAGAGGGTGTTCAAATTCAAACAATTTTTTCCAAGTTATTTTTCCAAATCAATGTTCTGAAAACAAGGCAGGAGGCAAACACATGACAGAGAGAATTTATGTTTGGTCATTAGTTACGTAACCCTGGGCAAACAATTGGAAGAGTTATTTTTTTGCTTTCCCTTCTATAATTGCTTTTCAAAAACACTGTTGTGATGAATAGGTAAAATACCATTATTTAAAAGTATTTTGTATGTTAACTATTACCTTGCTGATTCTGGATCCAAAATCAGGGCTTCTATCGTGTGAGATATAAGTAAGCAGCTCTGCTGCTGTCTACATTAATGTTAAGGCTATCCATAAACAGAAGGAATTCACTATACATTTCACATTATCCGATATTAAATAGGTCAAGATGAGGCTGCACTTTTAGTCAAAGTAATCGTGTTTTCCCAGCTCAAGTGGTCTTGGGGTCTGGTTTTTCCTTTTAAACGCTACATGCTGTCTTTCCTAGTGATCCTCAAACCCTGTCTCAGGGAAGGTATTTCAGAGGCCCACCATGTGGGAAAGGGGAACCAGCCAAGAGGCTGGAGATCTGTGCACAGCCACTCTTGTCTCTGTCTTAGATCTAGGGGTTCTTCGTAAGAGTCTGAAACAAACAAGAAAACAACAACAAAAGTTTTACTGATGATAGTTTTAAAAAAGAAAAAAAAGTCATCGGTCTATGGAACCTTTACCTCCTGGTTCCTAGCTAGGGCTCACAAGGTCAATTCCCTTGAAACTGTACGCAAATTTTGGGATGCAGGTCATGCACACATTTTGTAGCACAAAGGACCCACACATTTATTAAATATTAATCAACAAGCCAAAATGCTAAGAACTATTGGCTGGCAAATCCTACAACTACTTCCAAATAACTGGATCTTGCCTCTTCCTAAAACTGATTTGAAGTTGCTATAAGAAAATATGGAGAACTTAAAGGGGGCTTAGTGATCAAAAAAAATAACTGAAACTCTGAAAAGATCATGAACAAAGATGGTTGTTAGTCACAAAGGAAAGGAAAGGAAAATGCTGGGGCAAAACAAACTCTTCTGGTGGAAAACAGATGGTGCTATCTCAGCTAAGTGAGTACAATGCACGCCACACCCCGCACCAGCAGGATGCAGCCTTTGATTCCGGCTGGTTGTCTGACAAGCATCTTGCTTCACTACCCAGGCAGGCCTCAAACTCCTAGGCCCAAGCCATCCTCCACCTTCAGAGGTGCTGAGACAAGAGGGCTGGCCACTGTGCGCAGGCCTGCGGCTCTGTGTGGGCTTCCTGGAGGCAGGGGCAGATCACCCTGGAGTCACTCACTTTGCTTTAAAAAAAAAAAAAAAAAAAAGAGACAGATTAAAAAGTAGAATTACTCTACTCATACTAAAATTCAAAAGGGGAACTATAATTATAACAAATCTGAGGGTTATTTAATATACATTCTGTAGGTAAGCAGATCTGCAGTACTCAGTCGACATTTAAGACTACTTCTCAAGAAAAAAGGAATACGAGGCAAGCTTAGGATACAGTTCTACATTCCTCAACGTGGCCGAGTCAGCGTCAAAAGATGCCTGATACAGATCTCCGTATCGGGAAGCAAGGGCTCTGAATTCTTCCATGGACTGCTTCATCTATGAAGAATGGAAAACATCAGCGGTGACACACACACTAGTGCTAGTGTATAAACAACACAAAAACAAACAAATGAAAATGCAAAGAAGCATTGAACTCTCATCATTTCATTCATTTTCCTAAACTTTGTTAAATACAATCAAAGAATGGCAAATGATACTATAAAAGTTCGTAAGATTTTAAAATGCTGTATATAATAGACAAAAACCTTTTCATTTTAGTGTCTTCATATTCCACTAAAATAACAACTGCAGTTACAAGCATTGTCAAGTGTCTTTAAAATGTAATTGCATTCTCTTCAGTTCAACTGTGGCACCTGTCTAGAGGCCATCAGTCACCAGGTCACCCTTTGTGGCAGGCCAGGTGGGTAACACATTTGATACAATGTCTGAGTCAAACCACTGATAAACTTTCATAACTTTTCATCACACACCTAACATCTCTAATGTGTACATGAAAATTACAATGAAAGGAAAGGAAAGACATGCCTGATTGGAGATGCGACCACATCTCTGAAGGTCATTTCCTAAGGTCATGGCAATCGTAGTGGCGATTGCAGGGGGAGGGCTTGTCTTTAGGCTATTACATGTACAGATGAGTTGCGAGAAGGCTTGCAGAAGGTCAATCCTGAGTTTCACAAACTCACACTGAAAACTGAGAGGATTCAGTGGGGTACTAGCAGCCTGCAATAAAAAAAAGATAATATGTGGCAGTATTCATATTTTACTATACCAAAATGCTTTTCTCTGTGACCTTCATAAAAATGTGTACTTGTCTAATGTAACATCCCTCTCCGACTGCAAAGACCGAAGATCAAACTATGCAATACAGAGGTAAAAACTGTACTTAAATGTTTACCTTGGGCTTTTTTGCCTTTGGAATATTTTGTTCTACTTACTAAACACTACATATTAAGGTATTAAAGAAGCCATTTTCACTTTCATTTCTCAGATATGATCTGATTTGCTCTTGTAGGCTAATAAATTCCCTCTACCCCTTTTTGTTTTTAATTTACTGCTTACCTATAATTTCAGAAGGATGGGGTACATGTAAATATATATGAAACTGTTACATAAATACGATACAGATCATCTCACCAACCAGAAAATACTGTCAGTTTTGTTCTCCTGCATTATAAAACTGAAAAGAGGGTGATGCAGTTATGAGAAAGATTTGCTGCTACTCTGATTTTTGACTAACGAGAAATATTTGACTGATGATGTAAGACAATAACCTTGAAAGTGACTCGGCAGTCTTAGATCACCTTAATACTGAAAGAAATGTTTAAAAAAAACACAAAAAATTTATATTTCTCAGTGAATTCAAAGACTAAAAGTTAATATTACTCAAGGAATATGGGAGATATTTAGAAAAAAAGACTACAGAAAAGAGAAATACAAGACCACATACCAAAGAGAAATACAAGGAATGTTTCCTTTTCTTTCCTCTGGGGCTCATGCTTAAACAACAGTTGGGTTATAAGGGAACATATAAAGAAACATGGTATAGAGTCAAAATTATCCTAAGTGTTCAAGAAGAAACTGTTTCTGGTAGTTTGGGCCAGAGTCCCAACATCCCACTCCTGATGTGCCTCGGCCGAGCTGAGCGGCTGACAGAAATGTCTCCCTACTTACGGTGCTTGCTGTCATCCTTCCTTATTACCCTTCTTCCTATCTTTCCTTTTTGTCGAACGTATAAATTTGTGTTAAACATGCATAGGACGTTATTCTGATTTTCTAATTTGTAGTACAAACTATTTTGTAAAGAGTTAAAGAAACCAGTGAGGCAAAAAAAAAGCAACTTCATAAGCTTGTTAAAACATGTATGTAAAAAATACATAATAAAAATTTCATCATCCTCTTTTTAAGTATAAATTTAGTTGTGGTAGGTGTATTTACTTTGTAAAAGAGACCTTTAGAACCTTTTCATACTGCAGAACTGAAACTCTATACCCTCCTCCCCACTAAGGCCTTGGCAAATGACCACCATTCTATTTTCTGTTGCTACGGATCTGACTCCTCTAAAAACTTTTTCTGAGTGTTTTAATTCTTGGTTTCTGCTGTGCTTGGAATTGAACCCCAGGCTGCATCCATATTAGGCAAGCATTGTACCACATTCCCAGCTTCTAAACATCTTTTACAATTTTTATTTTTAAGAAGCAGGACAACATGCAATTTGTCACTGTATTGGGGAATTAAATGCTTAGTGCTGTGGTCCCCATAAACACACTGTCATGGTTTATGTCTGTGTCCCCCAGGCCTCATGAGTTTGAATTGTGCATTTGTTATTCATTCATTTTCTAGTGCTTGGATTGATGGTGTTAGAGCTACACCCACTTAGGGGTGGAGCCAGGATGTGATATAATGGCAGGAAGAAGCTGTGTTTTGCTCTTTGCTGGTTCCTGCTTGCTGTTGGCGGCCGCCACGAGCTGCAGCCCAGCCATGCCTGCCTGTCTTGGAGCCAACTGAGTGTGGACTGAAACCTCCAAAAACTGTAAGAAATAAACCTTTCCTTTCCCAACTTGGGCATCAGGTATTTTGTCGCAGCGACGAGCACAAAGTAACTAAGACACACACTTCAGCTTAGCAGGTAAAAAGCATGGTGTGATGGTTAACTGCGTGTTCAGCTTGAGTAGGAAATGCCCAACTGACTGGCCTACTCACAGTTCTGGGTGTCACTGAACAGAGCTACCGAAGACAGAAGACCCATCCTGGGTGTGGGTGGCACCAACCAACAGGCTTGCAGCCTGGATGAAATAAAAAGGGACAGCAGACAGAAGCTTTGCTGCTGCTTCTTTGGAGGTGCTGCATCCTCACCGTCAATGGCCTTGGACGTGCACCTTGAGCCTCCAGCTCAGACTCCCTGGCCTTCCTTTGGCTCTTGATCCAGACTTGCGCAGGGCTCTGCAGTGAGCTCCAGGTCCTGTGATTGTAACACCTGGCTCTCTCTCTAGGGTGCAGACCCAGATTCACAACATTAACCTTTCCTCCAGGGAACCCTAACTGACACACATGGGCTTCAGAGCTGTGCGATCTCAGGCAGAGATAACTTATTCAGAAAGCCAAGTGGTCCATGCTCATATCCACTCAAGGACTACTCTCAAGTTCACACCTGGCAAGTGAACAGATTAAGCAAAAATCCTCAAAACACCCTAACAGAGTAATACGACCAGAAATGTGGGAAGTTTCTGGAGGCCATACCGATCATACTCTTCTAGACAACTCTCAAGTGGAGGATAATTTCCTTGTTTTTGAGAAAGAAGGTTTTATGTTGCCCAAGCTGGCCTTAAACTCCTGGGCTCAAGCAATCGCCTACCTCAGCCTTGTGGGTAGTTGGGTCTTCAGATATGTGCTGCCATGCCTAGCTCATATGTATCCATTCTTTTTTTTTTTTTAATCCTCAAAGCACAGTATTTGGTACATAGCAAGATCTTAAAACCTGTAGAATCAAACAACTCCAAGAAAACTTAGGCCCCAGTGAGCTCCTCAAGTCATCCTGAGTTGGTGGCAGAACTGAAACTAAGTCAAAGGTACCAGTCTGTCCATTAAGTGCTTTATTCCTGTTACAGTTCAGTCCTTACTCACAGGCCTCATTAAATGCACATGCTACAGTTCATTGTCAGTATGAAATATTCAACAGAATTTTTCATAAAACTTATTCCATGTTTTTGTGATCCTATTTGTTTCAGGTTTACACATATACATATTTTACCATTTAATGCACTAATTACAATTTGCTACCTTATCTAAATTAGAAAATGAAATACTTTTATTATCTGAAACAATAATCATACCTTTTAATTTTCTGTGGCATCCATTAGTCGACTTACAGAACAACAATCTTTTCCAAGAATAATCAAGAGGAAAGAATCGTGGCTGTCAATGTCACTCTTTAAAATGCAAAGCAGAGAAGGCTGGGTGTGGAGCTAGCGCTCAGTTAGCTTGGGCAAGGCCCTGGGCTCCATTCCCAGCATCACCAAAAACAAAAAGACAAAAGGAAAGAAAGGGAGAGGAGACAGCGATTCAGCTTAGTGGCTGAGGCGCTGGCCTGGTAATCGTGAGGTCATGAGGTTGATCCCGGTACTGAAGAGAAGGAAGCAGGCAGAAGGAAGGGGTAGGAGGGGGTCTTTATGTAGCGTTATTTTAAATCGCCATCAATCAAATTCTAATCCAAAAATAAAAATTATACTTCTTATTTAATTTTTTTGATACTGGGAATGGAACTCAGGATCTTGCACTTGCCAAGCAGGTGCTTATGTCGCTGAGAATTATACTTTAAAAAAATATGTGCTCCACAGTGGCCTTAATATTGTCTCTTTTGTGACACATACAGTTGTTTTCCTTTGGAGCATTTCTTTCGGGATAGTCTAGAATTAAAAATGTTTTAAGGCCAGGCACAGTTGCACCTGGAAGGCTGAGGCAGGAGGACCACTCTAAGTTCAAGGCCAGCCTGAACTACATAGGGAGACCTGTCTCAAAAAATTTTTTTAGAAATTTCACAAAAGGATATAAACAGGTACTTCCTCAATATATTCAATTTTTAAAGCTGTATAAGAGTACTGTAAAAACAGTTAATGTTCATTATATGCCCTTTATAGAAAAGCCCTTTGGCGAACGCAGGACATTCTCTTTGCAGGGGATGGGTCCTTGCTCAGAAATACAACTGACTTTCAGGACATAAGAAATGCTACTCTCTGCAACTCTTTCACTTGCTTAGAAAATAACTGTTAGCAGTTGGCTGTTAGTCTGGGTGTCACAGGGGAGTAGAACTGGCCCACTGGAGTCCTTGATAGCTATCTATAAAGCAAGCAAGTCCTGTAGCCGGGGATGAGGTCTGTGGGAGAGCACTTGCCTTGTATGTGCAAGGCCCCGAGTCTAACCCCTAATACCAAAGAAAGAACCAAGATGCTGTATTTACTATGAGAGCAGCTGCCAGCTACAAGGTGGATCAGGGCATGCCTGACAGTGGCCCCGGCTGGCAACTGACTGAGGATCCCTCTTCTGCAGAGCTTTGGCAGTCCTCTATACACGGCACCCAGTGCTCACAGACTTCCATCACCCAGAAGCGCTAAAGAAGGGAAGGGCCTAGTTCATGTCTATGATCTCCGCGTTACTTTGACACTACTTTCTCAAGTTGTTAAAGCAGGAAAACCCAAAACAAGAAGGGAGAGAATTCTCCGGTGTGTCACCGTCACCCAGGGAGAATCAGGAGAACTCACTGTCAAGGAAGCAATCCCTTTGTGGTAGTATTTTAAAGACTCAGCAATGCAGGACAGTGCCGAACTGTACTCCTCCTCCTGCAGCCCGGTGAGGCACTGCTCCGCGTGTGAGAACTCCTTCAAACTGTTCAGCCAGAAGTAGAAGTGCTCTGAGGCCACCTGAGCCAGCAAGCTCTGGTACAGCTCTCTGGCCATGTCATGATTACCCTGAAAAAGGAAAGAAGGAAAGCAGGAGCAGAGGATGAGGTTCGTACACTGGAAAGCGTTGATACAGCAGGTCCCAGACAAGCCCAAGCCCTGGATAAGCTTGAATAATCATTTCTCATATTATGTAATTCTTCCAGAAAATATGCTGAGTTGCTTTTATGCAATGCACTGCCTAAAGTTCTTTACCAAAACCTTTCTAAAGAGAAGGTGAATGGAATTAGCCATAACCCAAGTGTAAATTTTAGTCTGCCTTTTAGGAAGTAAAAATCACACACACTGTGTCAGCCCTGGTGACCCAGCAGTGTGGGAGATTGCTGGGGGAAATGTGAACGCTGTCTGAGGCCAGGGGCCAGGAACGCTCTGTGTGCTGTGGTGCCAGGACGCCTAGGCTAGTTGGCGGCAGTAATGACAAATGACAATCCGTGCCCCTGCTCCTGCCCCGCATGAGACTACACAACTGCAAACACGAGCATGACCACCTAGAGCAGTTATCCCCAAGACTTCTGTCCTAACAGGTTGGTGCTCCTTCTCAAAGAAAGGTAGTGACAGCCCCTAGGCTTTCTGCAAGGCTGAGAGAAGGGCAGCATGCTAAAGCCTTCCTGCTACTACCTGAGAACCAGAAGGCTGGGGAGAGAAAGAGAAGCACAACATGGTGCATCAGCCGAGGAGGACAAGCACGGTGGTGGACGTGGTCTTGCTGTGGACAACACGGGGCAAAGTGAAAGTGCGCTACGACCCACATCCAGCCTGAGCTTGGCCTTCAGCTTCCCACAGCACCAGCGCACACAGCAGAACGTGTGCCACTCTTTTATGAGAAAGGCCAAGACGGATCCTTCCTTCACCACACCCAGAACCCATGAGGAAAAGCACTCCCCTCTCTATTTCCAGTTCTGACCCTGAGTAACAATAACCACAGAATCCAGGGCAGGTGACCCGCTCCCCAGCGACCAGTACCCAGCAGGGCGCCCACCACATACCATCCTGGAGGCCTGCCTGGCAATGCGGTACACGGTCCACCCATTGGAGACACTTTCAAGCTGCTGCTTAATCACGGCCTTGACTTCAGCAGTCAGCGCTTTCTGGCTGGCCACGAAAATCACCGTAGCCAAACTCACCTAACCATGAATAAGTAAGAAAAACAAGAACATCATATGAGTATAGCCAGTGTCATAGATAAGGGACTCAAACAGAAGAAAAGTCAATTATGGTTCATTTTAAAGCATAAAATTTGTTTTTCATTAACATTTATTTAATTCTCATTTTGAGTAATTTCTGAGTATTCCACTGATGTAGAGCACTACTTATCAAATCAAGTAATTAGAATCAAGCCAATAAATAAACAATGATATAATCACACAATGAGATACTATGCAACAGTGAACTGGACAAAGCAGAGATAAACTTAACAAAACAGATGATCAACGAAATAGGGAAACTGCAACTGATTACTTACAGTGTAACATTTCTGTGAAGTAAAAATATCTAAAGGAATATTGAGTATTACTTTGGAATATATACTGTGATCGTAAAAACGCAACATGCATGGGGATCATAGATATCAAATCCAGGGCATTCCATTCTCACAAAATGAGGAAGAAAAAAAAAAAAATCCAGGGAAGACTTTTATCAACCGAATTGGAAAGGTTCTGAAATCTGAAAGTGTGTATATTTTGGATTTCTTTTTTTTCTTGTTACTGGGAATTGAAGTCAGGACCATGTGCTTGCCAGGCAGGCACTTGTGCCACTGAGCTATGTCCCTGGCCCTATGCTGGATTTCTGATGTGCAGTTCTGATTTTGGATTTCTAGGGTAGGGTCGCTCAACTTGTTGTATAATAGTTGACAGGGTCAGTTCTGTTTTGACTTCATCATGCTTCCGGTTTTGGATAACTACTTTAACCAGCTGTTTGCTTTGTTTTGTTTTTTTAAAGTAAAGTGAAACAATAGTGTTGACTTTCTAAAATAGTCCCCACTAGACCGTATGCCCATCTCGCAGCAGACGGAGACAGCCACTCTTTACCAGAAGTTCCTGTTGCTTGTCCGTGGCTGAGCGTCCGATCACCTTGTAGAGCTCCACGAGGTCACCAAGCATCCCATCACCCAGTACCGGCAGCTGCATGGCAATGGCCGCCAGGCAGTGGCACATCGGGACCCGAGCGGCATCCTGGGCACTATGCAGCTGAGTGAGCAAGGTCTCCACCACCGACTGGCTAAGGTGGGGCCTGCCCCTGGCCAGCTTCACCATGCAGTTGAGAGCAATCTACGCGCCATGGGGAAAACGCACAGTTACATGCAGAAGGAATTTCAGACGTGAGCCAAGTAAGCTCTATATAAGTTACTGAGAAAAAAAAAACCAAACCACAGGTGTGGACTTTTGTAGGCATAACACTGAGTCCCACATGAGGCCTGTGATGTGTACTGCTTAAGATAACAAGTCAGGACCATACATCAAAACATCAACTCATTCCAAGTAAGACTTTTTTTTAAATATTGAGGATCGAATTCATGACCTCCCACTTACACCACTGAGCTAAATCCCCAGCAAGCCAGGAAAAAAAATTTTTTTTATTATTATATTTTATTATTTTAAATTATTGTATATTATTTTTATTATACACACACACACACACACACACACACACACACACACACACGCCTGTCAGGCAAGTGCTTTATGCCACTGAGCTAAATCCCTAGCCCCAAGCCAGGACTATTTTTTAAAAAAGATGAGATAAAACTATAAGGGATAATGTTGATGAGGCAAAAACATACACCAAGTAAGATGTTACCCTAACTGCACTGCTTTCACTACTTTTAAGAACTGCTCTAATGTGTGGTTTATGAACTATGCCAACAAATCCAAACTCATGCATTGACTTTTTTGTGTACATTTGTGGAGGTTCCTGAGACATCAGTTTCCAAAAGAAGTCCTTGGTGATTGTAAGTACACTGAAGTGAAGCCAGATTTCTACTTTTTTCTCTTATTCCTTAGCTGAAATCTAAGAACTACTGGGCTTAACAGCTTCTCCCATTCAGGCTTGGTAATGAGATAGCCAACATTTCCAACTAACAAAGTAGAAACAAAGCAACCTCGTCACTTTTTCATAGCTAGCTGTTTCTTTTGTCAAGTCTCTAAGATCCCGTTAGCTCATTCTTCTACGATAACTAGTCTCTCCCTACTTCTAACCTCTCGCAAAGATGTACACACCAGTCCATCCTTTATACCACAGCTGCTCAACCACCAGTATGGTGTCTGCCATTCCTGATAAACCTCAGGCTGACAAAGGGCCAAGTTCATCCTGCCCTTTGTTAATGAAGTGGCTCTGAATAAGTTACGTGTATAAGGCTTTAGCAGTTTGGCACATTAAAGCATGGTAACAAATAATTATTATAACAAAAGCTGCAGCATATTATTTTAAAATTGCAATATTTCAAGCATGTTCCTGAGCATACTTGACATGCTCTATGACTAAGCTGTTCTACTTTTGCAGTCTCCTACTATGGCATCCAGCCACAGAGGTCAGTAATACTCATTGTTTTTCCAACATAAGAGCGATGTTTCTGCTTTCAAGTCTTTTGTAACAGAGGTCCTCTAAAGTTGAGCTATCTTTCCTACTTATCAAAGTTCTCATTCATTTTTCATGGTTCCACTCATGACATCCAGCTGCTGCATTGTTCCTAAGATCCTGAGCTCACGTTGGTCTCACCCAGCTCTGTCCACTCATTAAAACTGCACCGTCACTGATAACGCAGAGAATGCACTGCAGCCTGCTTGGTATTCTTGATATAAATGTCTATGTCCTATTCCTGATGGCAAGTTCCTCTAACACGGGAACACATGTGATTACACACACACATCCCCGAGTCAAGGCCAGTGTTTTATTAAAATCTAGCATTATTAGTAAAAGGAATTGTTTTTGCTTTATTGTGTTCTTAAATTTAAATGTATCATGGTTCTAAGAGGTTCTAAGAGAGTGTGTGACGGTCAAATCTCTTCCCCTCCACATCACCAACTTTTATAAATCATGTCACCATCTGTATTATCCATCCTATGATGACACTGCCTTTTCTTAACATGCAAAATGAGGCATGACTTCTTTTGAAGCATACCTAAAACAAACTGAAGTTTGTCAATGTACATCTAATAGCTTTATACTTCTATTAATATGCTTTTATTAATTTTGGATCATCACAGATTATATTTCATGCTTCATTCCAGTAATAGTCTCATTTTACATTTAAAACATCTTCAATATACCTATGACAGCTTCTGTACTTAAGTGAAAATGAAAATTCCTAACAGTAATTCTTCTCTTGGCTTGTAAACTAAGGCTTCTACAATCCCGAAACTCATGAACACTTACATATTAGTGAGTTTGGCTACTCATTTCAGCAGTTTTTTGTAGCTCTTAGATTATTTCAGATTAAAACTACTATGAGAGGTCTGCCTGCTTATATTGTATAGAATTATACCTGTTTTGCAATTTAACAAATACTGGCAACTGATAGCAAAATGGGCCAAGGTTCTTTTGGGATACTAACAAAAAGCCTGTTTTCAAAGTGAACTTCAAGCACAAATGTATTTTTAAGCTAGGAATTGTTTTCTCTGAGCCAAATCTAGGCCCTTGCCTATGCTGGTAAATAAAGTTTAACTGGATCATGGACATCCTCCCTCCTCACCTTAAACACTTCATCCACAGCTACTTCTGTCCACAACTGCAGTGGCGAGTAGCTGTAATGCAGTGTGTGTGACTGGTAAGTTAAAATACGTACAGTCCAACCCTTAACTGAAAGACTGCCTCACCCTAGCTTAGGCAATGGAAATGGCAACCAGGTGAAGTGATATTTTACCTTTAAAGTGGCTTGAGCACCTGGACTATCATCTTGACTACACAGCACCAGCAGGGATTCCAGGCCATAGACAGCATCTTGCTCCAGTGCCAAGAGATCTAGAAGAAAAGCACCAAATTTTAGAGTAGTCAGCAGAGGAGTAAGCACACGCATGTGTGCAAATACAGACATGCACACTCACTCACTCACTCTTACAGGGAAAAAACACTGAGCCTAAAATGTAAGGAATGCTATACCCTTCCTAGAAAAAGCACATGCAGCATTACTTCTAACATGTAAGGAAACTATCTTCAGACTTTGTTATTTCTACCGCTTTATTGTAGATTATAAAAACAAACACATTAAATCAAGAGGTAAAGCTGCAAAGCTGTAAGTAAAGCAAAACAGAAACAGCATCAACAATTTAGCTAGCAAAATGGTAACAGAAAACTGTGCTACATGGGTTAGTCTTCTGAGTCAGACTTAAATTACACAGGCCCCTTTTCACCTCATACAACACAGTTTTCAGCTTTAAATGAATGTTAACCACTGAGAGGCTGCAGTGAACACTCCAGGTAGTCTCATGGATGTTTTCAGTCTGGCCTTAAAGAATGAACCCTTACGTTTCATGTGACAGCAGTACTATGACATCTTTTCACTACCATAGGGATACAGTTCCCCTGGAGGATCTAGGATGCTATGAATGGCCTAGTTAACTGTATTTAGGATAATATATGTCAGTGCTGAGAACACACAGCAGTTTTCAATATTATTTGGGAAAAATACTCTTTACTATGCCCCAGATAAATCAGGCTTAAATCAGAACCAACAGGTAACTTTCTAACGAGTCCTGAGTAAGTATAAGAGCTGGGCAACAAAGGTGTAAAGACAGACCAGGCACAAGCAGTGCTGAAAACTGGTGGGGAGGAGGACTACTCGCTTGTGTTCCTTAACAAGGGTCAAAGCAAACGCTGAAACAGATTGTCCACAATGCAGTTTCTGCTCCTGAGTGAAGGTGTGAATTTCTTTAAGTTACATCAAAACAATATTAGGACCACAGGAAAATACGCGCACTATTTTTTCTGTATATCTTTCTTGATAATGCAAATCAGTGTGATGTTACATTCATCTAGGAGATAAAGTTTGTCATATGTAATGCACACTGTCCTGTTAATTCACTCGTCTCTAAGTGAAATGAAATGACCTGTCTTTCAAGCACCTCCACAACAGGAACAAACTTCCTTGGTTTCCTTATCAGTGAGCACATTCTTCTAGCACAGATGCAGATTTCCTAAGCGATCTCCTTCCAACATGTGAACACCACCACATGTGAAGGCAAGTGGTGGGACGAAACAGACAATGCTCCACAAAATCTTACAACTGCACAATCTCCGGCAGCTCCAAGATCTTAGGGTTCTATTACTCTTCACAAGATTTAAATGGCCTTGAGAAGCAAGTTCTAAGAACATTTCAGAAGGAAGCAACTGTGGATCAAATCATGTAAGCTGAAGATGAGGGAACGAGAGCACACACAGAATTCTGTCCATGCGCCAATCTTGAGTTCATAAATAATACCATTCCTGAGTAAATTCACCTTTGTTTTTAAAATTTTTATTAGTACGTGTTTACAGTACACAATGATTACACTCATGGTGGGCAGCTGGCATGAGTGTCTAACCCCCTGCCCCCCCCCATCTCTTGGTACTTTTCTCATCAGCAAACATCTCTCTCCCTATTTCCTTTTATCTTATCTTGTATTTTGCTCTTTAAACTATTTACATTTAGGGATTCTCATGTAAGAGAAACCACTGAACATTTTAGCTTGTGTATCTGGTTTATTTAACTCACATTATTATTTATAAAGACGCGTCTATTTTCCTATAAATGACTCAAATGTATTTTTCTCTATGGCAGAGCAGCACTCCATTATGAATAAATATCATGTTTTCTTTAACCATTCATCTGCCAGTGGACCTACAGGCCACTTCCAATATTTAGTTGTTTTGCTACAGACATGGGTATGCATTAACATGCAGTCTTCAAGTCTTCTGAGAAGATACCCAGAAGGGGACTAGCTGGGTCAAACTGAATTTCTATTTTTTATAAACTTACCTTTTTCTTGACAAGAGACAGTTATGTTAGTTAGAACTCTTACTCCATGAGCCGCAATGCCTCTGTTATTATGGTAACAGCACTCCTGAGCTAATTTGACTAAATCAGAGGATCTGGGAGAAGAACCTACATTTCCTAAAAAAGACGAAAAAAGCAGTATATATTATAATTCATTGCTATAGTTAAAAAGCAGTTCAGTTTACAGATTTAGTACTCAGTTTTATGAGAAATTCTCTAACAGTAAACTTTAATAATAAAATTTTCTACAACCTCTTTACCAATATACAGCACCATTTTCCCCCCTATCAAGGTAATTAAAATGGGTATGTGGTAATAGTTTTGTAATGTCTAAGACCTAAATCAATACAAGACTTTCCCATAAAAATTTTAATCACAACTAAGAAAAAGTGAAAAAGCTAAAATAACTATAGACTGTATCCTGGGAGTTCTAATGGACTCTGATTAAACTGGATATCACTATGGGCTTCTTGGCACAGATAAAACCATTTCTTCAAGAGAAGATTTTAAAAAAAAAAGAAGAGATTGGGGGCTGGGGATTTAGCTCAGCAGCATAAGCGCCTGCCTTGCAAGCAGGTAGTCGTGAGTTTGATCCCCAGTACCGATAAAAAGGAAAAAGACAAAAAAAAAAAAAAAAAAAAAAAAAAAAGAAGAGCTAAAAGAGAAACATTATGTTTGCTTTTTCCCACTTCAAATTGCTAGTGTACATTTTATGTCTCAAAAAGTTTTGATTACTCTTAGTTGCAGACGATCCCTATTTTTGCAGAAGAAATCAAAGATTTTAAGTATCTTGCTATCAAAGTCACAAATCTTGTTAGTCAGACCCTACTTCTGTGCTTTACAAAGTATCTTAAGTTCTATGCTAAAGACTGCAGAAACTTTTCAAATTCGTATTTGAAATTCTACAAAATAAGGCCCACGTAGTGAATAAGTTAGAGGAGAAACTTTCAGTTATACTCAGGTGAGTTTCAAAAAGAACCAGGACATTTAAGCTTGTTCAGCTTCTCAGGAGAGTCTCTCATTGCTGTGTTCCTTTCCTCTGCTTATTTTTCCACGATCCCTATCAACGTCACCTTGGCTCTCACACCTAAACGTGACTGTATTTTTGAGGCTGAAGAGGACACAATTACAACGGGCACAAACCAAACCTATTCCAGATAGTATATGACCTTATGCATTTCTGGTTTAACATAAAAACACCAGTTTCAGTGTTTTTAAGATAGTCAAAACACCACAAGGAAGAAATTTTATATTTATTTTCTCCCCAAAGTTAGAGAAGTGTATTTCCCCCATTTTTTTCCTTGCTTCTGTGATGCAAACAATGCACACTTAACTATAAATCTGCAAGTATGTTTTGTAACATTCATTCTTCTATTTTCCTCCATTAAGGCTCATCATAGGAAACTTTGGGGAAATAAAAACAGAAAAATTCAAAGACGAAAACAAAAATTTCCCTAAATCCCATAAATCAGCATGAATTTACTGTAACTTTTTGAAATATTATTTCGGAATCCCTTTATGTACACCAATATAATTTAAAAATTAATATATAATTAGGATATATAGATACCGGTCAATGAAGGATTCTGTTTTTAATATTAATTTTGAGTATTTTTCTGCATTAACATTTTAAGGGATGACATTGTTTTAAATTTTGACTTACTTAAAAACAGTTTTCTAAGATAAAATCATATGGTTCCAATGGTACAACAAATAGAAAAATGTACAAGGCTAGTGATAAAAATTTCCCTCATCTACCCAATGTTACTATTGGGGCAGAATTACAATGTAAGAACACATTTATAAAATAATGAAGTTATAGATATTTCATGATCAATTCGAGGTCTCTGACCAAACTGCTGTTCTCCTGTTTCTGCTGAATTCAACCGACCCTGATGGTGTCTACAGCCCGGCTGCATCTCTCTGATGAGCTCTGAGTCACAGTAACTGTCTGTTCCTTTGGGCAGCCTGGGCAGGTCACCAAAGCCTTCAACTATGCTCACTCTGGAAGAGCCCCTCCCCTTGTGCCTGGACTGTTTATATTATGATAAACAATTCCTTTGTTTCAACAAATCTGTTCAAGACTGGCCTGCCTGGCAATATACCACTCAATGCATGTAACCAATTATGTAACTTTTTCTCACCTGCTTTGTACCTCCCATTTCTCAATTGTATATAATAAACTAAGCTCTCTGTAAATTCAGTGCTGTTACCTTTGTGGAATTATCCCGCAAAAAACTAAAGATTAAATGCTGCCTTTTTATCTCCTTGGTGCAAAGAGACTTCCTTTTGGTTTGGTTTGGCTTGGGAATTTTCTCGTAACACTGCCAGTTTCTTACGTCATCCAGAGACTATAAATATTTTTTTTAAAATATTAAATCATAGGGATTATTCTATGACATACATTCTTTTAATAAAATGTCATGTACTCGTTTAGTACACTGATTTCTAGCACATGAAATAGCATAATTTCTTAATGAGTCCTACTGATGGATCTTTTTGTGATGTGACTGCTTCCTCTACTGATGGATGGTATTTTACTATTACAAAGAATGCTGCTATAATACAATCTTGTACAAAAATCGCTTCTCGATTTATGACTATTTAAGTAGGATAAATTCTTACAAGTGGAATTTCTGGGTCATCAGTAGACTAAGGAGTATTTCAAACTTGCTTATGTAGAGGTCGGATGACTTACATTCACACCAGCAATCAGAATGGCTGTTTATCCACATCCTCGTCAATACAGCATGTTATCAAACTTCTGAATCTTTGCCAATCTCTTGGATTTGATTTGTGTTTTTTAAATATACATTTTTCTTAAATATGGACAATAGTAAGCATTTTATATGGGTAAGAGTCATGTATCAGAGATAATTTAGACATACTAAATTTAAATCTTTTACAAACTACTTCTGGTTATATTGAAAAATTCTAATGACTGGAAACAAACATTTATTATTATCTGGTAAATAATCTTATTTTGTAAACCTCCTTGACTTCTATTTTTCTATGAATACTACTTAGTTTAACTGGAATTCCACCTATCAAGTACACTTTTTTTTTTGGTACCAAGAATTGAACTTACGTCGTGCTTGCCAGGCAGGTGCTGTGCCACTGAGCTTTATCCCCAGCCCATCAACTACATTTTTAACAAACTTTAATGAAAGAACAAATATCCAGCTTGAAAAGTTCTTTTTTTTTTTTTTTTGTCTTTTTTCCTTTTTATCGGTACCGGGAATCGAACTCACAACTGCCTGCTTGCAAGGCAGGTGCTTATGCCACTGAGCTAAATCCCCAGCCCCTTGAAAAATTCTTAACCTGACACAAATGCTTATAAATATGTCTGGAATTAAAAAACAAACAAAAGCCATCATGTATTCAGGTGTGTTGGATATTAAATAAAAATAAAACTCCCGAGTTGCAGGAACACTGGTTAGGCAAAGGCAAAGGCACCTTGCCTGTGTATGACTTTGAATACACCTCTGAACTGCTGAGAGTCTGTTTTAATACTTAAAAAATCCCCTGCACGTAACTTCATTTGAAAGGATACTTACATAATAATTTATAAGAAATAAGACTGCCTACCACAGCTCTTTAAGAATATCCTGTTAGGGAAGGAGGTTAACTGTAATTTAAGAAACTGACTGGCTGACTTATGAAGAAAAGGAACTTACTGAGAACACTAGTACATGGTTAACTGTTTCTAAAGAAAATCCTACCTCCTGTAGGTACTCCTGTTTGTCACAGGATTTCTAATTCCTCTTGTCAAGAGGTGTTATTTCACCACCTATTTAGGCTTGGCCGTGTGACTTGCTGTGGCCAGCAGGACTCAGAAAACACGACCCAAACGGAAGGTAGAAAGTGCTACCTATCCATCGGTGGCTGCTTTCTTTTGGCTCAGCTTGCAGGTACCCTCACTGACTGCCACACGGAGAACTAAGCGTCTCAGCTGAAAGGGCTTCACCTCTAGCCTGTGAATGAGCCAAGGTCAGGTCAAGGTTCCAGACACTGCAGTCACATGATGAACCCAGAGGAGACCAGCGGAAGTGCCCAGCTGTGTCCAGTCACAACTGCCGAGTCACAGGGTCAGAATAAAATGCTCACGGCTTTACACCATTAATGCTTGGAGATTTTTATAGAGTAACAGATACCTGACAGAGAGTACTTAACAGAACTACTCAAAAGGCTAGAATGCTAAAGTCAGAATATAGGAAAGATGGCAGGGCAGGACACAGACAAGATTACAGTTCAAAAAGCAATGCATAGAATTAGACAGTGAAGACACTATGGGTCCTATTACTGACGAACTGATGTCACAGATTATGCAGCCATCCTAGGTACAAGACATGGCAAACACCCACTGCTACAGTGTAGTCTGGAAACAGGATGGCATGGGGCCATTTCTGTGTCACTATAATGGATTCTCTCAATTCCCACTTCTCGTTGTCAGTTCCCAGTTCGGTCTACGGCATGGAAATGATTGAGTCCAGGACACACATGTGAACCCTGGCTGTAAGGGAGGCCGGAGTACTGCACCGGGTCTTCTCTGCTTCCTATTAACATGTCCCCGCAAGCTGGAACCACCAGGGGTGCACGCATTGTACCACTCAATGGGACTGTTCCAGGCTGCCTGATGAACAGTCACGCATTTACTCCTGGTGACTCAGAGCCACCAGCAGTGAGATTTATGAACTATGGCCCCCTTGTGAATGTGTTACGATTTGACAGAGCCTTTCCCTGACTCAATAAATTTATGCTACACAGTGATAAACAAGGACAAATGTAGGCAACAGCTCTTTAATTCAGTTCAAATTCATTCAATCAGTAAAAGCAGCGATACAGATTCCACAAAACAAGAAAAACTTTAGCCTTCCATTTTGTGACAGTTAAACTGGATTATTAAACTGAATGGTTTGCGAGCCACCTAGGAGATTAGTAAGCACATGTTAAGTATACCTGGGGGGTTATGGAGGCCTGACCTTGAGATTCATCTGGCCCCTGGCCCCTTTCTCTGCCTCCAGCTGTCTCCCGGCTGCCATGAACTAGGCAGCTTTGCTCCACCACACCCTTCTGCCATCATGTTTCTGCTCTGGAGCAACCAATCGTGGACTGAATCTTCTGAAACCATAAGCCAAAATAAACTTTCCCTCTAGTTACCAGTGTCAGATACTTTGTCCAGTCACAGGAAAGCTGACCTCTACAAGTCTGTTAGGTAAGCGAGCTCCTTAGTGAGCATTAATTAAGGAATTACAGTCATTTTGAACAGGTAACTAGCAAAGCATTATTGAACTAGGGCAAAGTTGTAATCACTTTGCAGTGTAATAATTCACATCCAAAAGGAAGCATATAACATTCGCTTTTAAAATCAATACCATTTCATCTTTGAAATGTACTGAAAATCAAAGGATACTTTGAATCTCATATATAAAAATCAACCAACTATTCTAGGTACTCCCAAAAATATTTTCACTCACACATAATTCAAACAAGAACAAATCAGAAAAATGGTATCTTTGAGTTAAGATCAAGGGGATAAAGGATTTTTATTACAAGCATTGAATCATTTTCAAATAAGTCACTAGCATAAATGGCTTATAAGATTAAAACTTTCTGATTTAAAGCTCTCTAAAGGAACTACTTGAGACATAAGCAGGAGTAAAGGACGCAGCACATTAACTCTTTCCTACCTGATGCTATGCTGAAGTAATGCTTGATGGCGATGGTCCCTGATAACGTGGAGAGGACAGACAGTATCCCTAGTTTTAAGCTGTCATAAGGCGTTTGGAGTGCACATTCACAGAGTGCCTGAAATAGAGAGAGGTGAACACAGAACTGAAGACATCGATGCACTGTTAACTCCATTAAATCCTTTATCTTTTAGAAAAGTTCTGTATTAAGATCTTTTTTCCATAATAAAGACTTTAGGGTCAAACTGCTGAACTCCTTAAAAGTGTATCAAGAGACATGATACTAAATATAATGTGGTACCCTGGGACAAAATAAAAGTTAAAAAAGTAGAGTAAAATATACACTCTGACTAATAACATACCAGTATTCATATAACAAATGTTCCATATTACTGTAAAAAAAAATCATTATAGGAAATTGGGTGTGGTATATGTATATTATTTTCTAGTTTTTCTGTAAATGTCAGATTGTTCTAAAACGTCCACTATATTTATTACTTCATTTCAGTGGTAGAGATTTTACATTATGTGTATTATGGCACTAATAGAGTATCACAGTCTGTTTAGCTTACAAGTTTCTGAGTCAGCAGAGCTGCCCTTCCAGTTTTGTTCGTCTTCTCTAATTCTCACTGCAGTGGCCTGCAGTAGTGACCAGAAACAAGGTGCTAGCTGCCGACTCCGGCCTCGGTCTGGATGCTAGTACTCTGCATTTCAGGACAGCGTGTGCAGGACAGCAGCCTAGCAGCTACCTTGTTAAACTGATTTCATTCTCCCACAAAGAGGAAGTGGGAGCAGAAAATGAACAAAACTTAAGAAGTCTAGGGGAACAATAAAAAAATTCTAGAAATGGTTAAGTAATAAGTTTAAGATCTCAAAAATATCAACAAAATTTTGGGGGGGATTCAGATACTTTGTTTACAAAGATCACATGGAATAATTAACGTCCCAAAACATTCAGAAAAAATCTGATAAGCAATAGGTTCAAATATATACCCAGATTTAATATATGATAAAGGCACTTCAAATCAGTATTAACATTTTAAAAAGTTTACAAGGAAAACTCGCTAGTCATATGAGTAAAATCAAACCAGATGTTTCCTTTTTTATGATTAACAACGAAACTATAGAGTGCTAAGAGTTAACATGAAAAACCAAAAATAAAAGATCAATAAAGACCAAAGATCTTAACACTTAAAAAGCTCTTACACTAAACAGGCAAAAACCCAATGAAAGCTGGTAGCTCACAAAACTGACTTATATAAATGATGCTAAAATAAGATTTTAGCTGCTGGGCACAGCACCTGCTTGGCAAGCACAAGGTCATGAGTTTGATTTCTGGCACCAAAAAAAAAAATTTTTTTTTTAGTCTCATTTATAATTTGAAAAATCTAAATTCAAAGAAGTACATTGCCTTTTACAAATCAGATCGCCCAAACAAATACCTAACTCTTCAGAGTATGAGGAAACAAGTTCTTACTGTTGTTGACATGAATTGGTCTAAGCCTCACTAGTAGGCAATAGGCATCAACACTAAGAATTTCTTAGAAACTTATTATTGGTCCCAGCACCTCTCTTCTGGACCATTATACCCACAGCAGTGATTTTTACACTCTGCAGCAGGACCTTGGCACTCATCATTAACTGGTTCCAACTGTTTGGGCTGGAAAGGGATATGGGCACAAGACACCAACAAATTGTAGCCTCCCAGCTGAGCACTAGATGATGAGTACCAGGACACAGTATTTGTGTCAAAACGTGGAGAGTAAATGCAAATAAATCAATACAGAGGAAAGAAAGAAAGAAAGAACGAATGAACCCCCCCCCCCCCCACACACACACACGCACGCCGGGAAGGAGACTCTGGCGATGGTGAACACAGTGAGGTTAGGAGAGTGTGCGCAGGCCAACCATAGCCTGTGTCCGGCACTATCCAGGGCAGGCGGCCTAAACTGGAGTTCGCTGGTAGGAATGGAGATTAGCAGGGAAGCGAGGGAGATTCTGAGTGTGTTTGTTTGTTTTGTTTGCTTTTGCAGTGGTAGAGTTAAAGCCGCGTCCTCAGGCATGGGTTCTTAACACACAGCTGCACTCCTGTGCAGGCTGAGAGACCCTGAAAGTGGTTGATTACACAAGACAGAAAGGATATTAAGGATTCATGAGTATTATATGATTTCAAACATGGTGACCAGATAAGGCTGATTAGCCAATTTTAAAGGCAGGACAGAAAATAAGGGATGTGAAGTCTAAGAAGAAACACTCATCAAATAATTTAGAATCCAAGACAGTACGTTGTTATTTGGGAATTCTGGCTCTGTCATTTGCCACATTTGTGATCTGAGCTTATCAATCTCTTTGTGAAATGGGGTAAATATTTATAAGGAACTACATGAAATGTCTGGAAAAAATGTGCAAAACATTACACATTGACACTGGCCAAAGGAGCTATATGGATGGGGGAAAGTAGGTGAGAAATATTTTGTAATATTTCCTTTTGTAGCCCTGTCTCAAATAAATAAATAAATAAATAAATAAATAAATAAAAACAAAAACATTAATTTAAAAATGGGGATACATCTGTTAAATATCCACCGAAAGTCAAAACAATTTGCAGTGTACACAAACTGTTATGCTAGAAAGCAACGCTGCTGCCGCCGAGCTCAGTGCACTAAGTGGATGTGGGAGCTCCATGCACTGCACTGGGGAGGCCACCAACGTGACAGAGTAAAGGAGAGAAAGCAGAAGCCAAGGACTCAACTCTGAGGAGATGGGTGGACTGTCTATTCTAAAAATTGAACACAATAAAGGCAGAAAAAGCCTCTAGATTTAGCATAAGGAACACTGGGGAATTTTTAAATGTTCCAATCTATTTGATAAAAAAAGATGTAAATGCAAAAGTATATTTTAAAAAGCAAGGGATAAGGAAACATAAGTGGTGGCAATGCTATTTAAGAAGTTCAAAACAAAGTGCTTTTTAACAAAGTATTAGTTAATACTATAGTTTTGACTTATTCAAATACTAGAGAAATTTTAAATAAGAGTTTTTTAAAAGTAATTTTACCATTTCAACAGTTAAAACATCGAAAATCCTTATAAAATGCTTTACAGTGTTATTTTCTAATTTCTGTCATGTAGCACATTATTGGGTATCTAAAATGGTCTCAATGAGTACACATGATGTAAGGTTCATTGATTCAAATAAGTACACTTAACAGAGCAAACCATAAAGTTCCCTAAATAGCATATAATCATATTTCAATGACGAATCTAGTTCAAGTTTCTGTTTCAAGGACATTACCTATTACACAATTATTCTTACTAGGAGCATTTTCCATACCAACAAAGATGAAAAACTATCTCTTCAAATGGATTCCCCTTTCTCACTACCACTGATACCTTTCTCCTTGACTATTTGGTCTGAACTTCTCCCTCTAGGCCAGCTTAACTCACTGCTCAACCAGGGGCCCTGGCCTGAATTACTGTTTTCTGGGTCAGTCCCTAAATAGTGACCTCTTCTTTACCCTGGAATGGGACTGGCCATCAGGGACACGTTCTAGAAAAGTTTGGTAAAAAGAAGCTCTTTCTGTTTCTGTCTGTCTCTTTCCTTCTTTTTTTTTTTTTTTTTTTTGTCTTTTTCATTTTTATCGGTACCGGGGATCGAACTCACGACCGCCTGCTTGCAAGGCAGGTGCTTATGCCGCTGAGCTAAATCCCCAGCCCCCTCTTTCCTTCTTTTTCCCTTCCTCTCTTTCTATCGTGTGATACCAGGAATTGAATCCTGGTTCTTTTCACTGAGCTAGATTTTCACACCTCTTTTGTGTGTTTTTTTTTTTTAAATTTTGAGACAGCATCTTACCAAGTCACTAAATTGCTCAGGCTGGTTTCAAACTTGTGATTCTCTTGTCTCAGCCCTAGAGTACTGGGAATATTTGGTAGGTATGCAACACCACACTTAACTGCTTATTCTCTTCAAAGTAAGAAGAACGTTAAGTTTGAAAGTATAGTGTTAGAGACATAGCATCTCTAACAGACTTTCTGTGTTTCCACTCTAAAACCTCAAAGAAAAAGATTACTAAAAGAACTAATTCTCTGGTTTCACTTGTCATCCACTTAGATCTAGCGAAGTACAAATCAAAGATTCTCAGGAGAGGTAATGCCAAATACACACCTTTGAGGGTATCCAGAACAAATAACCTTTGCTTTGCTTTGCAACAGAGAGGTTATATAAATCAAGTAAGATTTATTTGTTCAGATAAGACTGCTCTGATATCAGAACACTGTAAATTATTCAGATAAGACTACAGATAATAATGTGGTACATGAAATTAATACTAACATGTAAGGCATTAAAATTTAAAGATATAAACACAGTAAAATATTTCAGTTGCCATAAAATTTTTTTGTATTAATAATAATACATCATACTTGAGTCTTAATTTTAGCCCTTCCTTCTGGTTTTTAAAATAGTTTGATAGCTTGGGATATTTGAATCCACAAGGAATTCATAAAACTAAGCAATAAACTAATAAAAGTAGCCATGGAGTACACATGATTTGAGTTTGGAATACCAAAAATCAAAAAAAAAAAAAAAAAAAAACCCAAAAACTTCAGCAATAAGATTAGTCAAGTGGAAGACAGAAAAAAGAAAGTAGTGAAGAACAGAATAATAATTACTTCGATAACTACTTTACTTTGATAAGTACTTTGATAACTGATAATTACTTTGATAACTTTCATAACTGAGTAAAACTCAAATTTAAAATCAATACACTGTGACTTTATAAAGGTTAATCATTATGCCTATTTTCTTCTGATATATTTCAATATTCTAAATTTATATCTTGGCTTTGAAAAATCATTATTTCACAATATTCATTTAATTAAAATCAATACATTTGATTTTGGGTCAAAGGAAAAAAATTTGGGAAAAACAAATATTAAAAAATATATTCAATTAGACCAGAGATTTAGCTTAGCGGGAGCTGCCTGGCAAGCACAGGGTCATGAGTTTGATCCCCAGTATATATAAAAAAAAATTCTGTATCTGTATCTATATATTTTAATTAAAAAAGGAAAAAAGACAAGAAAAATGAATCAAAATTAAAAATATCAGTAAAAAAAGAT